AATGTTTAGATACCAATCATAGATGGCAGAACCAGCACTGAAGTGAAAGGAAAATTTTTTTTTTAATTTTCTTCTTATGGAGTGCTTATTTACAGTCTCAAACGTATTTTAGGAATTTTTGCATTAAATTCCTCTTTAAAATTCATTAGATAATACAATTTTGTACAAATAATTGAATGTTATGCTACTATTTACAAAAATAAAATCTGAAATCCAATAAAAGATAAGTTCTCTAATTTTTTTCAACTCACAAATGTGATTTTTCCCTCATGATGTCAAAATGGCCACAGCAGTTACCGGGTTAAAGAGTCAGTAGTACAGGTCTGTTGTCTTAGAGGTAAATCAATATGTCTATTGACATCACAGTAGATGATGCTTTAAAACACTCTCTTGAAGACATTAAACTGATGGGTAGAGACAAATTTTACATCTAACAGAAACAGGGAAATTAAAGAGGCTTACGGAATAGCACTATTAAATACCGTAACACCAAATGGCATCAATCTCGATCCCAGGATTGTTGACCTTTGTATGTTTCTGAAAAGATTTTCTAAACTAAATCATAATTAAACTTACTTTACATTATTAGTATTATTCATGCTTTCATTTATCTATATTGGTATTATTTCCTATATATATTGCATCATTTTCTCTATTTCCTTCAACCTTTTGCTGTTATTTTGTTTTTATTTTTTCTTTATAAAAATAGGTTAACATTTCTTATAACTATTATCACACTTAAGTCTTATGTACTCCACACACCTCTTTGGCACAAACTAAACCTCACATCAACTCTAGGTTATGATTGGCTAGTTCTCAAGGCTAACTCATATTGAGCATCCGGTTTACATGACATCGACATCTGTTTCTACATATTTTATTACACTCATTAAACATAACCTTTTATTCTCCTAAAGACAAATAGTTAACTATTCAAAAGTGCTTGAGTTTTGGGTCTCGCTTGAAACCATGAATATATACATTATTATAATTTGGTTCATAATAGCTTACTCAATTATTCAAAGAGTAACCACATTAGATCAAATTATACATCCCAAACAACTGAATCCATCAAATAACTCAATACAAACCGAGGCATATACTTGCTTGTCTTTCTCCATGACAAACCTGTCACAGCTCTGGGATGAGCAATGTAAATGAATGTGTAATTGACTTCGCAACCAGACAGTGAATGGCCCATTTGGGATGTCAAGTTCACTGTTGAGAAGGTAATAAAAAAGAGGAAAGGGTTTAATACTTCTACTTTACATTTATTGCATTAAAATAATTCAGTCAAGGAATTGCTCAATATCCATAACTGAATCAAAACAGAAAGTTCCTCAAAGTCACATAAAAATAGCATCTAATATTCACTGTACACACAAAGGTTTACAAACAAAAGTAGATAAATGAAGTGCAGTCACCCAACCTTCTGTCATTTTTATTTTCTAGCTACATGAGTTAGCAAATATACACACCATAAAGAACAGTAGATATGGTGTACTTAACATACTGTTGTACGTTCTTCTTCAGTGTAACTCAAGTTTTTTAGAATTTGAAGTTTAACATACGCTAATTCATACATTTGTTTATTAAACAGATTTATAAAAGTAAGAATAATTAATGAATGAGTAGTTAGTAATGATAACTTTCTAAAAACTACACAGTAGAATGTTCTTCTATTGGATATACTTTTACATGCTTGGGAAATCTGTGCTTTCTTTCATGTACATATCTGCCTTTTTCCTTATATTTCAATATTGAACTAATTACTCCTTAAATCTGTATTGTAGGCTCACCTCTTTTGCTTTCATACCATACTTTAACCAGTCGATCAGAATGACCTGCTGATGCAAACAAGGTTCCATCTGGGGAAAACTTCAAAATTCTGACTTGATGAGCAGTCCTAAGAAAAAATATATTTAATCAAAAGGTAAAAGCTTGAATAGTGATTCTATGATTTAGCTCATTATTCAAGCCTCGCAAACTGTTTTACATTCAGTTATATCTACAGTAAATCAAACAGTCAAATTTATTTCCTACTCCTATTAATCAAATTTTAAAAAATTAATAAATAAAGCAAAAAATTACTGATGAGCTTACTTGCAGTCTTTTTTAACACCATAATGTAGCCACAGTTATTAGAATTATATCTTAGTAATCATAAAATTTTGGATGTTCGTCAAAAGGAAAATACCGTACAAACTTTTAAATACCATTAAAAAAAAGTCTGATAATACATTTTTATATGTAGTTACAAAAAGAGTAACACACTGACCTACATTTCCATACACACTCCCACTTAAAACATTCTTCAGTGTCAGTCTTCAAAACATCTTCCTCTTCCCCAAGGTGAAAACGAGTTCCTTCTTCCTCAATTGTGTCCTTTTCAGTACAAGTTTCTAAATGCCATAGTTGGATTATCTCTCCTCCAATCAAGAGTCGAGTTCCTGAAATATTTGTTTTATAATGAATAGAATTCTTTAATTAGATGAACATTTTGAACAGCAAGCAAAAACATTTAAATCACATAATTGATAAGTGAGAATTTCCAGATGATAAATTTTCAGAATGTAAATGTATAGAAAATCACAAAAATAAACAGAAATCTTCTGTTAAACATTCATGAAATATTAACAGAAATTATGTACAGCAGCTTCATAAAGACCTCTCCCCCATGCTAATTCCTAAGCTCATGCCAGATGAGACAGAATTTTTTTTAAAAGTTAATGATATCACTCATCACTATAAGAAACCTGAGATACCAGGCTTAACAAATAAGCAAAAATACATTTTATCCACAGAAAAGGTTGCCGACTGACTGTAGGTGTTTCTTACTTAGAGCCATTAGTGCAATTTAAAATATTTTTTCTTGTAATAAAATTAAATAAAGGATCATCAAATAGAATTTTGCCTTAAGAAAAAGTTGTAATCCCTGTTATAACATATATTCATAACTTAAATGGCTGAACACTAGTTATGTTTTATTAATAAACTAGTGTATAGACTGTCAAAAAAGATGGGACAAGTATTACCACCTCCACCCCATATTATATCCTAACCTCACATTTTATAGTTAACTGAAATAAATAAATTTTGTGAAATCAAGCTAGAGCAACAGAGGCAGAAAAATTAAGATCATCCATATATAAAAAAGGCAGTGCATTTTGGTAACACTACATTCCAACAATGCCTTTTGGGTCATGTTGCTTAGCAACCAATGTATAACCTAATATTGTTGTTAGTCTATGTACTGGAAGTATAAAATGAAATGTAAAGACAACAAAACTGGAAAAATATTTTTTGATTTCTTAATTTAGAGTCTCCATTAATTAAAGCAGTTTGTTTTTCATTAAAAATGTTAGGGATATCAAAGAAAATAGCCTAATTAAGAAATGATTTAAGTTTAAAATTGAACCAATATTTTTACTTCCATGATAAATTTCATGCACTTGGCTCTAGGCTAGGTGATCCCACACTGTCTTTACTTTAGGCTTATTATACCAACACTCACTACACTTAAGGTTT